AATTTGCTCAGCGGGTTCTTGAAGCTAGGCGTCGCAAAGAAAGCAACTCAAAATGTAAGGGAAGCACCATAGGGAGACTGCACAGCAGCCGTGCTAAATCAGCAATGAATGTTGGCAAAGCGGGTAAGGGAAATACGTTTAAACGCGGTTCGCAGTCAAGTGATAAGCGTAACAGAACACCTTAACATACAGCAAATCTGGGAACAAGACCGTCCAATTTTATGAGGCGGCTGAGATTAGCCTCAGGACGAATCATAAGAACGGGTTGCAAACTCCTTCAGATTTGCTTAGGTGGCACTCATTTGCACACGCATGCGATAGCGACATGGGACTGAAAAGTCGGCGAGAAGTGAATGGGGTGGAAAAGCCTTTCATTTGCGCTCGGCCGTGGGTGTTCGACAGGGACGGACAGTGCAAAATGCTCTGAGAAGAGAGGCCATAGCGACGACAAGTGCTTTTGGAACTCAGAAACTCTGACAATAGGCTGCATCTACAGCTAGTAAAATCAGGTATTGTCGGAGGAGGTGACACTTGACGGAAGACTGTTTCTTCAATGAACGCGGTGATAAATTTGGACCTAAAAATGCTTGAGCCATGAAAGTGAAGGAACCGCCTCAGCTCGGCTTTAAAGCCGGAGCTAGATATTAAAAATGGTACGGTAGTTTCAGCAAGATTAAAATGGGGACTGGCTCGGTCAGAAATGCCGCAACTTTCATGCGATCGTGCTCTCATGGAGCAAAGAACTTGTCGAGATTGCGTTACACTCTCGCCCACTTTGCAAGCTCTGAAGCAGGGTTAAGTGGAGTATTGGTAGGAAGCTCGTGAATGTCAGCATTAGAGTCAACGGCGATGTTTCCATACCCTCGTGAGTAGAAGCACACTCCCACTTGTCGATTATCGCTTTAGAGGGAGAGAAGGGCAAAGGTTCGAGCTTGCAATTCATCGCATTCGCCAGAAGTACTTGCATATGCACTTGCCATTGAGTGGAATAGAATACGTCACGACAATGGAACTGATCTTGAGTATCTCCGGCGTCCATTTTCTCATTTTGTGTCGTCTGAAAACTCCATTTTCAGTTCGCAAGGGCACCAATATCTGCGGTACATCGCAACACTTTCCGCATGCACGCACTGAAAATAATGAGCTTAAATATTGTCCAAGAGAAAACAGAACGGACGCGGGCTTGGGGATTTGTGGGTTTACAACGGTGCCAAATCTTAGAAGCTTTTCGGTGATTCACGTGCTTCGCATGGATCGCATAACCCATGATGCGGTGAAAAGTTGTCATTTCAAAAGCCCAGAACATATGCCAGCCGAACCACGACGGCATTTACGGCCAATGATCCTCAACTCAAGTCCACCTAAACCCTGCATAGCACCCTGCGACAAGCGCACCGGCGAAGGGGACGCGAAACCTAACCACGTCGAGCATCCAATCGACGCGATCCGAAATCATCCTGGGGGCGAGATCTTCGGCGACGGGATCCCAGTCGAGGACGAGCCATTGGCGGCGAAGGTAATCAGCAGGGGTACCAAGAGTTTGCTGTGACAACTCACGAAGTAAAGGCACCTCCAAGCGGCCTGCGATCTGGAACGGGGTGGAAAAGCGTTCCACGCGAGCACTTGGGGGGGGGGGTGGGGGGTGGTGGCTGCGCGTGGGAGAAACTCGGCACGCGGCGTGCGGGCGCGCACGGGCGCGGTGCTGGGCCGGTATGGCGGAGCATGTTGCGCGGGGGGGGCGGAAAGAGAGGATCATCGTGCGGACACAGCACTACGTCAGCCTTGTCATAAAGCACGGCGGCCGCCGCGCCGGCGGCGCGGATGGAAAGCTCTCTCTTCCTGAAAACGCGGGCTCGGTCACCTACGTCCCGAGTTTTCTCTCCGAAGCCGACGAAAATCTGCTTCTTGAAGAGACCAAAGACGCACGTTCCTGGGAGCGCACGCCGATCACTTTTTCGGCAAGTCCGTGCTGCAACCTAGAGACACTGCCTTCTTCGGCACCAAGCTCTACTCGTACAGCGACGAAAGAAGAATGCCGACGGGACGGGAGGAGGAATTGCCCGCATCAGCCGCGCTCAAACGCTTGTACAGTACTACAGTACGTCCGATGCAGAAAATGCTCTTTGCATCGCCGACATATATTGCTTGTCCAGATGACAGGTGTCACATGCTCATTAGATGCATTCTTCTGAAACTGAAAACTATTGGATAGCCATATGGGATTGGGTCTACGAGTTTCTGTTCATTCCGCAAATTCCTACGTAAACTTTACGCGTGTGTGTCGAAGCGAAACGCATCCCTGTTCATCCTAACCTCATGTCGCAGACTGCGTTAATGTCAGCAACGTTGTGCCCTGCCGGTCAAGAAGGTACGGACTGCTATCAACTTCAACGTCTTCGTGGGCACTACGCATATCCATCGGGAGCCCGGGGCTTCACCGCAATCCGTTTGAAGCAATCGCGCTTCATCAAGCGTAATTGCTCTTGCGGTGTGCATTCTAGCCTGATTCAATCGGCCCGCAGCGCGGCTTCACTACCTGGTCGCCCTCACAGCCTCACCGAATCTTGTGTTCGTCTCTTCTGCAGGCGGCAGTGCGCTTCATTCAGCTTCACTAATCTACAGCCTCGCCTTCCTGCCAATCGAACAGAAACTAACCCCGTCCTCCCTTTCGTCGTTGGCATGTCCGGTCGTTGTTTTCGGCCGCTTGTTGCGCTCTTTCGGTATGACCAAGTATAGCCCGTTCCGTCCGAACTTCCGAGCACTCACCCCGACTCGCTGCCATACACACCCGCCTGTAAGACTACTGACCCCGGTTCAGAATTTATGTACAGCCAAACGCCGTTCAGTAATGTTCACGACTTTTCTGCTCGTAAGTATGCGAACATATGAATTTTATGTACTGTTCTACTGCAACACTCTTCGCCGCCATTTTCTGTATAATTGAGATATTGACCAATGCCTTCGTTCTGTCCACTGCTCTCCCCATACTTCTACTGACATGGCCGTTTTGGAAAGTAAAATCTGCGACTATCGTCGGCACGTACTTTCCATCCCTCGCTTCAGTGTCGTGCTATGTCGACAACTGACAATTCACTCGTGCTTCTTCGATCGATTTCAATGTGATGAGGGCCTTGCAGGATGGAGACCGTCCGAAGCCTCTCACAACGACGCTGCGTAAGTGTTACAATACGTTTCTTCGTTGCCTGCTCGTTTTTGGCGAGCCACTTCGGATGAAGCGGTGCTATTGTCTCCTGGATTACTGCGAAGCACATCCGGAGAGCCGTACTCCGGCCGCGAGACAGATACAGGAGCTGCAGCTCCATTCGGGATCACGCGCTGATTGTTTGTCCTGGAAGGAGTGTGTGTTTCATTCAGGTATCTTGTTCCCTCGGACCGGTACCCGTGTGCGAGAAAACGTGCAGGCAGCACGGAACGCGTAGCTCGAACTACTGGGGCGGAAGCCGATTCATTGCTTATCGGAAATCGCGAAATAGCCATTCCATGTTGCTGATGAAGGAAATTGCGATGCTCTTTACCACGACAAGGGCCAGCGTTCTCGAGTCGGTTTCAAGACACTGCATTCGTGTTCATCGCATTTGAATGCATGCAAGCGCGCAGCGTCCTTGATATGCCCGGCCGCGGCTGCAACTTCCTCGTCCATTGCGTCCCATGTACCTTCGAGGAAGGAAGCTGTTGCAAAGGGCAGACTCCTGGGCAGCCCCTCGGAAGGCTTTTGGAGCTCTGTTTCCGTTTTTCATTGTTAATGCACCATGGATGCAAGCTGAAGGTTAGCGATTTGAATGGTGAAACCAGCAATTATTGGCAATGCGTGTCATCGGAGGGGAGTTTTTGGTCTCTCATTTTTGAGCTCCAATTTTTGCATTGGCGTTTCAGAGCTCGACCTTTTACTTGAGAAACGAATTGCAATGCCTCGCATGACGCGCCATGCCTTCCGACGGGGGGCTCACTCCACAGCAAGTAGTGAGAAGGTCAGTATTGCTCTCGGCTCCAATGTGGGCAATAGGGTGAGTGCAATTCGCAAAGCATTAGACGAGGTGAGGCAGTTTGCGAATGTCTGCCGTACTTCGTTTCTGTATGAAAGCCCTCCGTAAGTTCACAAGACATCCTATGCTGGCCATGATCGTTTGCAGACACTCCGGACACTCTGACAACTGAGAGAGCTTATCATTGCGTCCTTCATCCGTGTCGATCCCTTCTCGTTTTAAAGAATGTATGTTGAAGAGCAACCTGCACTCCTCAACGCTGCATGCGAAATCGAGACAACGCTGGAGCTACTTGACGTCCTTCAAGCCGTGAAGCGCGTTGAAAAGAAATTTGGGAGAGATCAGAAGAGCGTCAGGTATGGGCCGCGCTCTATTGATCTCGACATTATTGCGTACGGAGAACGCCTCGTTCAAACGTCAGATGACAAATTAGTGATTCCTCATCCTCGGCGAGTGGAGAGAGATTTTGTTCTTCGCCCGCTCTCCGACAATTCTGAAGATTGTCAGATCCCACGAACTGACGGCAGCAAACGAAGTGCAGTTGACCTGCTCTCATATTTGCTTGGGGGTGAAACAGACTGCAATCTGGTCAAAGTCACGCCCACGAACACAGGCAGACTCCTAAAATGGGGATCACACACGTTATTAATGGGGATCATTAATGCCACTCCGGACAGTTTCACCGACGGGGGAGAAAACAACAGGGTGAGCTCTTCGCTGCGGCGGGCGAAAGAATTCGACTTCGACGTATTGGACGTAAGCTTCTCTCAAACTTTCTCGACAACTCTTGGAACACACTATGTTTACCTCCGAAGCTTAAGAAAAGCACTACTCCTGATGCCCATAGATCGGCGGCCAAAGCACGCGGCCAGGTGCGGAGACAGTCGGCGCAAATGAGGAACTGAAGCGTGTACTGGCGATCACCGATGCGATTCGACGTGAGTTTCCGTCGTTGATCATCTCACTGATACGTTTGACGCGTCAGTGGCATCAGAAATGGTGGCGCACGGGGCCGAAATAAACAACGACGTGGCGATTACGCAGAGCACGCAGAGTGGCGGACGAGGGCACGGGAGGGCCATCACTTGTTCCAAGGATGCTGAGGATGAAGTTGTAACCAACTTGAAGGGTGTTGATGTACAAAAGCCTTTGGGCCGTCGGCACAAAGGCAGAGTTGATGGCGTGGGCAATGGGCCAGAACTGTGCGGATGCAAAAGAAAGTGTGTTAGGAGTTGCTGCACCTCCAGCGGGCGCTTGTAGATCAACGCTGGACCAAGAGCGACGTCTCCGATGGGGCGGCGGCCATTCCCTATCTATCTGAGCGTGCCGCAGAAGGAGTGACGTCAGCGCAATCTACAATCCCTTCACAAAATAAATTGACTAATCAATGCTGCGTTCCGCTGAATCCCTCGCTATGCATAGACCTCCTATTTGCCACTTTACTGCCATTTAGCAAACATGCCTGCCTTGACAGGACCATTCCTCACCATCTTCTCGTCCAGTGCACCACCAATGCACCGCCATTCACGAAGTAAAATGTGGGAAAATGACAGAGTAGATATAGATAAATGGCAGATTATTGGCACAGTCAAGTTCGTGAAATACACCTTCTGTCAGCCTACGCTTACAGTTCTGGATCTGTGGTCGCTTAATGGCAGGGTAGCTCAACCGCCACCTGTTGACCATTCATCTCCCAATTATTTGCATAATTATCCGTCACTCCTCGCCCATCCACCACCAAAATTCTCCTAGGGGTCCGTCGGCCATTCTCAGGCCTTTTTGATCTTTAAATGTCGCTGGAGGACCTACGGGCCCCCGGCAGGGAGGGAGTCGTTGTAGTGCAATACGCACCTGAAAAGGGGGGTGAAAAGAAAGGAAATATTTGGATATGAAAAGTAGTCCGGGTTGGGGGACACACGTGTGAATAACTGCACAGTTTTAATTTTTAATTATTTAATTTTATTTAGTTAATTAGTTGGCATTAATTTTCCTGACACTAGATTAGATCTAGGATCTAGCGCCGCGAGCTACTGTAGTGGCTCCGGCGGGGCGATATATATCTTAGCCCTCTGACCACCAAGTCAGTAAAGGTAACCCGAGTTGCCAGAGTTGAATGTCGCCTTGGTCGAAGTCCGTCTCTACCAAGACACTCCCTTTTACCTAAGCCTACGGCATCCTTTGCGCTCGGGGGTTCCCTTTTCCTTTCCTTTATTTCACCTATCCTTTTCTATTTCTATCTCTATTTCTATTCCCTTATCTTGTGTTGGTGCCATCGGCTTTGGTTGCGACCGGACCGGTGTAGGTGTCTTGGCCATCGGGCGACACGTGGGTGTAGGGCAGCTACTTGTTTACGACCACCGACGGAGGCTGTTGCGACGACGTTTCCCTCGAAGGTCCTGTTGTGTATACAGGACAGTGTTGGTTCCATCGGATACAGGTTGCGACCGTTCCGGTGTCAGTACTTTGCCATCGGGCAGTACGGAGGTGTAGCGCTGCTACGTGTTTGCTAATTCCGGACGGGCTGCGTTGCGACGCCCCCGTCGAAGACCTTATCAAGGGTGTAAGGTGTAACAGGCGCTTCGCGAGCATTGGATTTACGACCCATGGGGCCCAGCTTCCTAATTACCGCCCCGAACTCGCCGAGCAACTGCCTGTACAAGACTCTACCACCATTCGTCCCGGGGCGGGCCTCTTCCATTTGCCCCCCCTGTCAGGGACTTGAGCTACTGTGGGCCGCAAACCCACTTAAAGGGAAAGGGAGAATCGGACACTCCGTAGGGCTGTGCCGTCGGCAACTCTTGTTGGTTGTGTTGTTGCTGGACCGTTGGACCCTGGTTCCGGCCTGACAGGCACATTGCACTACAGTCGTTCTTGTGGAGGTATTGGCTGAGAGGAGGCGGCGCACAGTGGAAGTACTGCGAAATTGTGTTCAGGTAAACACAGTTCCTCATGTTGGTTAGAAGCATAGATGCCAAATAAATTTCTCCTACCGGTGATTCCGCTATACGCATCTTACGCTTGAAGTCTACGGTAGTCCAATAAAGCTTCACCTCCTTTAAAATCCACTCAACGGTCACTCGCACTTTTGACATTGCCATGTTCAGGGCCTTCTGATAGTTTGTCAGATTGGACCCCTGGAACGGTACCTCCATGAATGAACGTATGCTGTAGCCAGAATCTCCATACAGGCAGTACTGTATACCATTGACAAACAACATCTCATCCAACATCTCGTCAATTCCACTCCTTACATAAAGCGTCCAATCATGCCTGCGTCCCTCTGTTGGACCATATTCGTGCAGTATGAGCCCGTCAGGGGTCGTTACAGCGTGGTACTTCAACGCGTGTTTCCTCTTGTGACCATTATATGCCACGTTTTGTGCCTCTGCATCACCGGGACGCGCAACGGCAATGACAGTGCCGTCTATGAAACCGATGCAGTTGTCCAACGCATCACTTTTTCTATGTATGGCTGCCGCAAATCTGCATGCATTTCGATGTATGAAAGACTCTGGTATTGGCCCTGTAAGTAGCTCTTTTCTTGTGCTCAAGAACCTTTCCAGACCTTCCCAAAATATCTCCGATAGCTGTGGAGCATGCCTAGCGAACATAATTTCCATGTCACTCCAGCGAGCGGGAGTGCTCATTCGTCTCAAGATTATACACGTCACCAACATCGGATGGCACGAGTACCTGTTGCGTGTAGTAGTACCTTTAAAAGGAGTCCACGCTATTGCTTCAACCATTTGAATTAGACGTTCTTTTCTAAATCTAAACAGACGCAGACAATCCAGTTCGGTTAAGGAGTTGAGGTTGAATGAGAAATTTGACAAAGAGATACGGTTAGCTCGTAAAATGAATCGTTGACCTTCTACTGAATGACTCTGATACTCTTCCAATGCTTGTAATTGGACATTTGAAAGTGAAACGCTGTTGTTACGGCTAGCCTGACGCCTCCGCATTAACACATAGGCAGCAACTTCCCATGTCTGCTTCCTGATTGCCGTCCGCGCGAAGGAGTGGTCTCTCTGACGTCCTAGACTCATGTTTTTGTGCAGTACCTATTCTACTTGTCATTACGACTTTCGAGCCTTTTATGCTAATACTCACAACTGTAACGGATAGTCGTTTTGCGTAATGCACATCTTTTACATAAAATTTGCTTTTCAGGAAAGCACTTTTCTGGAATTGGAAATCTAAAAAATTGTGAAATCCTTTTCTGAAAAGCTGATTGCGTAAACCCACAATTGTTGGGGAGGAAGGCAGTTCCTCTCTAGTACGTCTGCCTCCCTCCAGTCTCTGGCTACTGTAAGACTATATTACAGTAGCGATTATGACTAAATAGTAGTGTAAGGGCCTCTAGGTAGACTTCCGTGTACACGTGGACAACTGTGCCCCTGGCCCCACGTGTACACCGGCATATACACTAGTACACGTGCGCCGTCACTCCGGCTTGCACGTGTACACTAAGCTACGTGTACCGCCTGTCACTGACGGTACTCTAGCTACTGTAGAGCAACGGGAACGGAGTTACCATATTACTACACCCTGTGCAGATGTGTGAGAATTCTGTCTGATTCGGGGTTGACAATGATGTATGCGGGGAGGACATCGAACTCGAGACAAGCGGCGCAAATGATCAAAGCGTTCTTTCATACCAAGTTGCATACAAGCTTGAAATCTACGTCAACAAGCGGTGACGATGGGTTTGAGCAGATGTTTGATTTGTTTGCGAAGCTAGCGGTGGAGCAGAGTTTTGATGGAATGATCGTGGATTTGTTCGTACAAGCGCTCGATGATGCGATTGACTTGGACGCGGCCGGAAGCGTTCGAAAATGTCATGCAGGGATACGAAAAACGATTGTGTGTTCCCGGAAATGGAATCAGTTGGACAAGCTTGCCAAATTTTCGGACTTGGGCGTTAGAAATGGCGGGGATGTGAAGTCGGGGGAAGCAAAAGGCGATGGTGTTGGAAAGGAGGCCTTTTTCTCTGAAGGAGAGGTGACCGAGTGTGACATTCTGACGTATAATCTTGTTGGCAAGGCTTTGCTGGAACGCATGATGAGCGAATACGCGACGTTGTTTTCAAGAGAAAGAATTTGGATTGTGCTGGGTACTGCCGGACAGGGGGCTCCTCGGTTTACTAGTCCGTGGGAGAGACAAAATGCAGGAAGTCAGGGTGCGAATTCAAGCGCAAAAGCCATGATTCGCCTTGGACTTCTTTTCGCGCGAGGGGCATGAGGGGTGGGATGCTCGACAAGCGAAACTTCTAAACGAAACTGCGGTCGAAGAGCACGAAAGCTGTACGGCGATGGTGAACCTCGCCATTTTGCTGAAACAAGGTGCCGAAGGAGTAGAGCGTAACGCGGTGCGATCTTTGGAGCTGTATGAGCACGCTATCGAGAAGGGTGACGACGTCAGTGCGATGGTGTTGCTCTGTGTTTTGCTCGAAGAAGGTGCCGAAGGAGTAGAGCGTGATGCGGTGCGATCTATGGAGCTGTACGAGCGCGCTATCGAGAAGGGTGAGGACGTCAATGCCATGGTGAACCTCGGTGTTTTGCTCGAAGAAGGTGCCGAAGGAGTAGAGCGTGACGCGGTGCGCGCTGTGGCATTGTATGATCGCGCAATGGCGAAAGGAAATTCCGGTAACGCGACTTGTAATCTTGCGATGACGTTGAGGGACGGAGCGGAAGGGGTGGAGCGCAATTCGGTGCGTGCGGTGGAGCTGTTTGAGATGGACACCAAGGAACGGAAGCAGAGCAAGTCAATAGTGTGTCCTGGAAACATGACGCGGGACGGGGGCGGACGGGGTGGCCCGCGACACGGATCGGGCGATACAGTTGTACGAGATGGCGGTCGAGGAAGACAACAACGCGGAGGGTAGCCCAACTTGCGGCGTTGCAGCGGGACAGATCAGACGGCAGTACGCGGGACGAGGGTGAGTGAGAAGTTCTCACTCACCCTCGCCGCCTTCTCACCGAAGAAGGCGGGGGCGGGATGGAAGGTGAGGGCAGTGGCGAGGAGGTAAAGTTACCACATGGATAGGCGGCGTAAGAGCAACTCTACGGCCAATCTGTTCTCTAATCTAACGTGGGTTTTCAGGATAGAGTCAAATTTGCATCTCTACCGCGCACAATTTGATCTATCCTGAAATCTAACAAATAGATTACAACTCGTTCAGAGTCTAACCGACCCCCTAATAGAGCCTGAATGAGTTCTAATCTATCCGATAGAACTCACACGAAACGTGATATCATTGG